GTCCAGGAGACTCATCTCCAACTAACCACCAGAAAACCAGAAGTGGCACTGTGGCTCAAGTGGTAGAGCCTTGAGCTGAAGAGCTAAGGACAGTGCCCAGGCCCAGAGTTCAAGCCCCACGACTGGCAAAAAAAAAAAAAAAAAAAAAGTCACCCAGAGTCCAGCATCTGAGGAGAACACTTAGGCTCAAGAGCTGGCTTAACCCCAAAGGGGCTAAGCTAAGACAGGTAACTGTCGGGTCTTTCTTCCAATTTTCAGTTCACTTTAGAACTAGAATAATAAGGAGAAAAAAATTTAGAAGAATAATTTAATTCTCAATTCTTCTCCAGAGAATACTCCATTTGGTAAAAGTGGGAGGGCAGATCTTACAAATAGGAATTTTAAAGGATTTGATAATGTTTTTAAATTAAAAAAAAAAAAGTTCTCATATACCCCAAACCTTCTCCCTAATACCACCTTACATATGCCACAATTATTGAAATGTGCATGCATACTTTATTCAGATTTTCTTATTTGTACTTCATATTCTTTCTTGGTTACCAACACCAGATATAGATAGATAGATAGATAGACAGACAGACAGACAAAGAGACAGACAAACAGAGAGACCCTAATGTAGCATAGGTTGGCTTCAAACTAGCCTCCTCCTGCCTCAGACTCTCAATTGCAGGGACTACAGGTAATTGGGCCCAGCTACTGTATTTCTTCTGGGTAATATGACAGGCCCCTCTTATCTTTGACAGTTGCCTAGGCACTTCTTGTTTATTTATGACCTTAAACATTTCAATTGATCAAGCATTGAGTCAAATGTCCCTCAGCTAATCTTTTGTTGATGATATTCTCAGATTTCAAGTCAATTTGGGGAAAAGACTAGAGACATCATTTTTTAAAAATCGTAACATACTAAGGATTCATACTTTCAGCATGACTTTTCTCTATTGTTTTTTATCTTTTCTAAAAATTTTATTATAAAGATGCTGCTGTACAGAGAGGCTACAGTTACATGAGTAAGGTAATGAGTACATTTCTTATCGAGCATTGTTACCCCCCTCCTTTGTATTTCTCCTACTATCCCTTTCCTCTCCTACCTCCTCCAGCGCCCCCCCCCCCCCCCCGCCCAGTTGTAAAGTTCATTTCCAACAGTGTCTTGTGAGTCTCATTGTTGCAATGGGTCATCCTGTGTCCTTGTTTTTGAACTTGACCATTGTGCTGAGGCAGAACTGTCAAACTTCCTCATCATAAAATAGTTCTTTTTTCCCTTTCCATACCACATTATTTAGGATTCATGTATAGTTCACATTCCGTATCCCTTCTCAAGGACAGTATATTATTACTGTATCATTTATGTTATATTATATATTATATAATTAATATATATTATATATTTGGAACACTTCTGTACATGGACTTATCTATTTTTCGAGGGATTTATCAGTTTTGATTCCTGAATATTTACTTTATACTTTCGGTTATCATTCAATGCTACTTCATGTATTTTGTTACTCAGCTTTGACTATCAAATGCTCTTTCATGACTGCCTGTCCTCCCCAAGCATACCCCATTGTGGGTTTTGGCTGCTGTTTGAATGACACTTTAAGATGGCCCAGGCTCACTTTGTGTATTCTTGCCCCCATTGTAGCCATTTCTCTAAGAGACCATTGTTCCTTTTATTGGAGAATGGTAATAGAAATTATGATCTGAGGGCTTGTGTGCTCATTGTTTCTAGACATGCCAGTTGACAAGTAATATTCGCACATATGCACATATATACGTGTGTATATATGTAGGTATATATACTGGCCCTTGGAAACACACATACCTATAGTTATTTCTACATGAAATTCATATCTATATTGAATTAAACATGAATTCACAGTAATATCTTCAAATCTTAATATTATATGCCATTCTAACTTATACCCCCTTGCTTATTTATAACTCCACACTTCAGAAGTGAGAAGCCTGGTTTAAACTTCCCACCATCTATTTACTTAATTGCTCAATGCTAGCACGTGCACACACACATCAGAATTGTTAACCTGTATCTCCATGAGAAACAATTTTATTAACCACACTGTAATACTTATACACATTTCCTTTTACCTGTAGTCTTAAGACACCAGGCAATCATAAAGTTTACTTAGGTCATCTTAGGAGTGTTGCTCAGTGACAGAATGCTTGCTCAGCATGTGCCAGGCTCTGGCTTTGATTCCCAGTACCGTAAAAAGAAAACAAAAACAGAGCTATTTAGGACAGCACCTCTACTCTCACCTTTTCTTCAGAGAGGATGTTAATACATTTAGAATAATCAGACTGTGTCACATTTTGTACTTCATCCTGGGATCATCTGACCTCCTAAACAATTATTTATTATCAAAACATATTTAAGTTTTATTCTTTATTGCAGTAGGGTGAGGGTAGGATAAAGAAAAAACACTAATGGAATTTGAAAGATTAGTTTCAAGGTTTCCTTGAATTTATATCTAACTCCACTTTTAAATTAAGAATTTATTGAAAGCTAGTATAATTCATTAATTTTTAAATGTCCTTGAAAACTTTGTATACAATAGATGCTATGGTAATGATGAAAAGTTGCACAATTAAGCCATAGATTTTCCTGGGAACTTCCTGTCACTTTATTTAATTTTCCTACCCATAAATAGAGATAAAAAGCTTCCCACTCAGGCCATAAATTTACATTAGTATCGGTCCATTCAAGGGTAAATAAATAATAGCTATTTCACTTGTCATAAGTACAGACTCTGTACCATATAGAAAATAAGCTCTATCTAATTAAATTTTTCACACAATTATGGAATTTTAATTTTCACACAATGATAGTCATAAAATATCACATATCTGACAATTTACTTTTCACTCACATTACTAAGGGACATAATCTTTAAAGTTCTTAAAATATCTACTCAGTTACCTGTACATGCTTAGAGTTATTCTTTTTTTTTTTTTTTTTTTTGTCAGTTGTGGGCCTGAACTCCGGGCCTGGGTGCTGTCCCTCAGCTCTTCAGCTCAAGACTAGTGCTCTACCACTTGAGCCACAGCACTACTTCCTGCTTTTTCTGCTTATGTGGTGCTGAGGAATCGAACCTAGGGCCTCAGGCATGTGAGGCAAGCACTCTACTACTGAGACAACTTCCCAGCCCTAGAGTTCTTGTTAAGTACACAGGGGAGCTTAGCAAAACTCTCTGGCCATTACGGAAGATTATCTTAACTATAATAAATGCTGTTCCTTACCAGAAAAAGGTGGGAGAGAGGGAAGAAAACATTTTTCTAGGATTCTTTTTAAGTTAGCATTTATTACCCACTTAACACTGTATAAATGATATTGAAACACTAATACATCACAAATTTCCAAGAATCAAATATCAACTTCTTTTGTGTTCAGGCATTTTATTGAACCATCTGAAAAAGACATATCAAGTCCATAATGTCAATCTTCGGAGGAGCAAACTGTGCTCAAGAACTTTTTTAGTTTCTTTATAGAACCAGCATTTGTCATTTCTACTCAATACATTTACATGTAATTTAATTCAGAAATTTAATGTATTTCTTTGTAGTAGGCACTTAGAGGAGAGAAAATCATGTTTGAACCATTAATATTGCTTCTGAATACTGCCTCCCCCCATTATTCTAGTTCAGAAATAAAATGTCTGGGAGTATAAAACTACAATTTCCTAATTAAATATCCAGAGACATTACATGGTTAAATCTTATTGCAAATCTTATTTTTAATAATTTAAAAGATACAATAAGAACACCTGTTTCTTTTCCTCAGTCTTCAAAGAACATTCAATAAATTATTCTAGAAATAAAATACTATGCTTTTGTACAGATGGAAGTTTATACCAACCCTGCAACTTCCCAAAGGCTGCCTCAAACTCTAGCAGAAAAAGAGAAAAAGAACTCACTCTGAGAGGACTGGAAACCAGAACAAGAGATAAGATTAGAGGCAAAGAATGAGATAATTAGAGCTCAGTGTAAAAGTTATGCTTAACACAAACAACAACCAAAAAAATACTCTTAACAGATTTTTCAGGGATGGGTTAAGGAAGAGAGGAGACATAAGCAATTACCAGAGACCATGGCTTCAATTAAAGGAGTCCAATGCTACAAACAAAGCTCAAAGGCAGCTATCAAAGATGAACATTTTCTCCCAGCCAACCTCTATAATTATTACAGCAGTGACTTGTAGCACATTGTTACAAATAAGTAGGTTAAATAATGAAGAATCAATACAGTTTAATTTAGAAATTCTCAAATTCTACAAAACGGGACAGCTATTTGAAGTAAAGCAATACAAAGAGGACAAGTGGCTCCCCTGGAAAACAATGTCTCAACTTCTATACACAGTGAATAGTGGGGTCTTCCTGGGACCATATGCCAAGAGTCATAGCCCAAGAAAGCAGTGTGTAGTCTCAGCAGGACGAATCATTTCACTCCTCAGAAACAGATCTCTTAGGAGCTTTGCGTTTATACAATAACTGACAAAGCCCCAAGGAAGTATAGCCACTAGGATACAGGTACAGTAACAAAGCAGAGCTGACCTTATTTGAAAGCACTTCGCCTTGTTTCATACCTATCCAGCTTCACAGCCATTTACTCTCTCAAGGGGGCTATGAATTTAAAGAAAGTATTTGCTCAAAGACATATCACTCCCATCAATAAAACTGGAAATCACTAGCAGTGATCTCAATCAAGAACCAGGCTCAGGATTTCATCATTAAACTTGCTTTTCAATCTACTAACTCAGAAAAACAGGAGCTTAATCAAGTAATCTTTTCATCCTGACTTACAGTAGGTAATCCTATTAAAGGTACAGCATGCCTAGGAATTTATCTTCCTTTCTGAGGGCCTAAGCATTTGAGGTTATCTGGATAATGCCACAGAATAAGCAGGAGCATCTCCATAGACTTTGCCCCTTATCTGAAAGCATCCTTGAAGTATAAGATTTAGTGGGGCTGTGGAGCACTCAGATAACCTACCTGCCACACTGGTCTGAGGTCCAAGTAACTGATCGCCCCTCGGGTTTGGTTTTATACCATATCCTGATGGCATGAGGAAAGTCAGTAGCTGTCTGAGCTCCTGTCTTCCTGATCCGTAAACTCCAAGTGTCAGTGTCAAAGATGAGTTCCCCACAGCTAGGAGCCTGGCTGCAGCGAGCAAAATAATCTAACTGCTCCCTCCAATGATCTGCAGGCAGAGTCACAAGCTCATGAACCATCTCATTCCTGAGCTCCTCAGAAATAACCGTGAGCTTGGGAGACCTTGTAAATTTTTCAATACCTGGCACAGCAGCAACATCCACCTCCTCGACCTTTAACACAGATAAATCACAGCAGTCCAACACTAGCAAAAATTCCTCTCTCCCATGATTCTCTGTGTCACAGGAATACTTTGAGATAGAGATCCCAGAAGCCTGTTCCTGGTTGTCATGGTTACCATCTTTATCAGAAATATCTTTATCACCTTTACCACAGATTGCAAAATTATTATATCCCATTTTAGATGAAGAAGACCTTGCATTTGTCACAGGAATATGGCAGGGTTCAGGTGTCCTTAATGTGCAGGCTTCATTTGACTCCATTTGGCAGGTTTCCTTACAGGATCGACTCCATTGCTTCAGTCTGTTTCCATCCTCAAAGAAAAGCACTATGGTGCCCTCAATGACTTGACATTCAAAATCCACATCTAAATCTAGCACATAATGTTTCACAAGTATGTGGTTGGTGTTGGCCATGAGAGGCAGATCATCTCGGGAAGGGTCCAGCTTTATGTCCATCATGTAGTTGGTTCTTTAAGAGTTTTGCTGAAATTGTAGATGGGGCTTCCTATTTTATTTATTCTTCGAGAATTATAAACGTCTGCTTACAAAAATACAAAAACAAAAACAAAAAACAAAACCTGACGATGTCACAAATTAGGATTCCATAACTTTCATTCCCCTGGCAAAGAAAAAAAATACAATTAGATAAAATTCCAAATACAATCCTAGTGCTCCTGCAACTGCAGCTACTGCTACAAGTTTACTACCATCCTTAATCATCCCCCATGCAGGAGATACCCATGGCTAAAAGGCACACTAATCTTTTTGACTGACATGAAAAAAAGCTGCACTATGGAATTCTAAAAATATTTCAATTACCAGTGGAATGAAACAGACTTCCACAAAGCTAGAAAAATCATGCTCCTAACTAGAATAGTCCTTGTTTTGGAAGAGCACAATTGTTATGCAAAATTGTAACCTAGCATCATTGTGCCTCTTGTTTCAAAAGATATTAAATGTATCATTTCTAATTTTGTACATCAAAGATAAGTGATTGTTTCTCTACTGTGATTCTAAGTAACAAGTGTGAATGAGGGCTAAATGGACTCATACATTTTATTCTTTGAGAGCAATAATTTAATACATACAATGTAACTCCAGGGATTAATGTACTTTTCACATTACCATTGCTCTCATATCAGCACTTCTAGTAAATTACGGGAAAAATGAGCCAATTTACCAAGAGTGCATTCTAAGTATTCCTTTGAGATTGTTCATGGAGATTTTTCAAATTTATAGTTAAATACTCAAGGTATATCATTACATCTTAATAGCTGAAAATCCATTAACATTCTGGATAATAGCCTTCTTGTGGCAAACAAAAGGTCTTCTCATTTGGAAAAAAAAGTATGCAAATACCTATAAAAGGAAGGAAAGAGATTAAAATGTAGAAACAGATGTTGTAATAAAATGTACAAGTTCTTCATAAATGTTCTGAATCAAATGTATTCTTATTACACAATAGCAATACAGCTAAAAGAAAAAGTATTTGAAATTATTTCAGTTCCTGATTTAAAAAAAAAGTTTATGCTGTTCCTTTCTTTTTTCTTAGCAAAAATAAAAAAGATGGCAAGAGAAAAGAAATTAAAACCTGACAGAGTAGGTATATTTAAAATGACTTTTGTATTCCTTATTTTCAGGTGTTGGGTTATCAACTGGAAAACATTGCTTGGCTTTTTAATTGAGCCCTTCCTCATTATTTCTGCTTAACTCCTTACTTCTCTTTTGACTTTCTACTAGATATTTTTATTTCCCTTCCATCCAGAATCCAACCATCCCAATTGAATTTTTAGTTTCTATATCTCCACAGGCAATTTCCTCATTAAATTTCCACTTAACCTTAACTGCAGCACCTTGGTGAGCAACCTTGAAATATATTGCAAGACATCACCTTTACAATAACAATTTTTAAAAAAAGAAATATATTGCAAGTACATATGCGAGCAGCATATAGAAATCAACAAAAGCTAATCATCAATAGCTGGATAGAAGGAAGAGAAACGGACTGTGATTGAGTGGGGACTAGCAGGAGGGGAGTATACTTGGGGTGGGGGTTGGGGGGCAGAGACCATAAAAAAAGATTCAATGGGGGCTGGGAAGGTGGCTCAGCGGTAGAGCGCTTGCCTTGCATACATGAGGCCCTGGGTTCGATTCCTCAGCACCACATAAGCAAAAAGAAAAAAGCCAGAAGTGGCGCTGTGGCTCAAGCGGTAGAGTGTATGCCTTGAGCTGAAGAGCTGAGGGATAGAGCCCAAGCCCAGAATTCAAGCCCCACGACCGACAAAAAAAAAAAAAAAAAAAAGATTCAATGTTGTCCATATAGCTAATTTTCAACTATAAAAACTGAACAAGGAAACCAGTTGAAGGATGCTATTTCTTAGAGGAAGGGTTCAGGCTGTGTGATACAGAGGGTAAAATAGATTGGAATCTAGTATGTGTGTAGATGTAACAATGACACCACTGCACATGTAACTTATATAACTGAAATAAGCCAAAAAAAAAAAAAAAATGTGGCCAGACACTGGTGGTTTACATATAAAATGCTAGCTACTCCCAAGGCTGCCATCTAAGGATTGCAGTTCAAAGCCAGCCAGGGCAGAAAAGTCTGTGAGACTCTTATCTCTAACTAATGAAAAAGTCAGAAGTGGAGTGAAAAAACTCAAGAACAACAATAGGCATTGAGTTCAAGCCCCAAGACTGGTACCAAAAAAAAAAAAAAAGTGACTTCTTGAAGTCTTGTACTATCTGGATCAAAACTATTTTTCCAGCTTGAGGATGAGTCTATCTTTGTATCCCTGCTCTTTAGCCAGATGACCTGTTCAAGACACTGCCATCCTGCCTTTTGCACTGAACCTGACATCCTTCCTGGCTCCCACAGTCCATACCCACTTGTCAAATCCCATTCTCCCTCCATGCCCAAGCTGAAGTGCAATTGTCTCAAAATCTTTTCCTGATTCCTATTTTCTCCACCACAAAACTGTATGTGGTAAAGAGTTTAAATGTAACAGTAGTAGAGAGAAAATATGCAAAGAATAATTTAAAATTTCTTTGTTGAGAAACTGGTAATCCTCCTGGTAATAAAAATGATGAGCTAGAATGTACTCTGCATGAGAGTTCCTAAACATAGTATCTAATGAATAATAACCTTTGACTTTATTTACATAATGAGGAACAATGATGTTTGGAACTGCTAGCATGCAGTATTTTGTTGTTGGATTCTTTAAGCCCTGAAAGTAGAAAGTCAGAGGTAGATAGAATATGAGAGACAGAGACAGAGGGACAGAGATAATATACCTGAACAGCTATCATTTGTCAGTATAGACATAACTACATTATCAGCTAACCCTTAGTAGATTCGCATGTTTATTTCTGAAAATTTGTATAATTTATTCTAGAGTACTTTCAGCAACTATAGTCTATGGTCACAGAGAACAATGTTGGGGTGCTGCCTCAGAGCCTGCCCTTTCTAGTGTAATACCAAAACTATTGTCATTGTTAGTTTTCTAGTGTTAACCATTGCTGCTTCTAAACTATGTTATGAAGTTTTGGGTTGTTTGTCTTTGCATTTTCTGAGAAATGGGGTTTATGTTGCTCAGTCTGGTCCTGAACTCCTACATTCAAGGAATCCTGTCTCAGCCTCCAAAGTAGGAGAACTACAGACACATACCACTATGCCCAGTTTTCATGTGCATTTTAAATGCTTAACTGCTTGTCACCTGGACTGGCAACTTTGGTTATCTTCAGTACATTCTTCACAGAGGTCACTTGAGTTTTTCCTTCTAACTTTCCAATTCGCTGACTGCTGACTCTTTCATGATTATTGGGGCCCTTACTTTATTGAGATGATTTGAATCTCTGAAACTCAATTATACCTCAAGGTATTTCCAGGTCTCTGTAACTATTGCCCTCTGCTAATTTTAGAGAGAACAAAGCTAAATCTCAATAAAGCTAATTCTATCCTTTTAAATCGCAGTTTTCGGGTCTTAAAAGAGCCAAATAGCATCCTTCTCCCCACAGAATCAGAAATACTGTAGCATAACAAAGGGTAATGGAAAGATTACCATGATTATGGATGGCTTGCTATGAAAGCCAAAGATACCTGAAAACTAAATCCCAAATCAGATTTACCCACATGGCCACATTGATGGCCACTGACTATCAACAGTGATCAGTCCAAAGCTTCAAGAGAAGGCCATGGCCTCCCCCAGGTAACACTTAAAGGGCTGAAAGAACAGAAAATAACTCTAGGTAGTCAGTGTTGTGGAGAAGCAAAGAGTAAGAGTGAACAGAGCAAGCCTCCAAACATTTATCAAAGTAATCTCATAGGACTAGGAGTGTAATGCTAATGTATTGCCCCCACAGGGAAGGAAACAACAAAAATAGGTAAGAAGTATTGTCCTCTAAACCATCTCCATCAATATTTTGTACTGTTGGGATCTTGTTTCAATTGGTATTTTTCTCTTGCCAACATTTTCTGTTTCTCAACAATTCTATCCTATTTTCAATGTCAATACCCATAAGGGCTGTCATCCTTTAAAACAAAAACTACATTTGGCCCTGTTATCTATCCCACCTCTCCTGTCTTTTCTTTCTTGTGTCATGCTGTGTTTCTCACAAGTTTTACCAATTAGCTACATTTCCAGCCCTTGGTTACTCATGTTAACTGGACTTCATTTCACTGAGTATTGAAACTGGAAAATTCAGGGCTTACTCAATCTAAACCTTTAGTTTTGGTTTTAAAAAGAATGAGGCCCAGAGAGGTAAAACAATTTCCCCAAGCTCACTCATTACTTTTTTCTTTTTAAAGAACTTTTCCCATTTGATGACACATTTCCAGGTCTCCTGGCCATGTTGTTTACACTGTCCGAGTTACAAGTGAAAAGCCACCTCTGACACTCTTCCATATCCTCACTCTATCTTCTTAATTTTCTTCAAGTTGTATAGGCTAAATAACTATTCTTGTGATTGCTTTTGGGGGAAAAAAGGATTTGTAAAGCCAGTCCCAGAAGGTTCAGGAGAGCAATGTCACCTTTGCAAGTCTTACAACCTAAATTATGTGTAATATGTAAGTCTATTATAATTTGTTGCTTATTCAACTATTTCCTACTTGTCTTGGATTTGTGGATGACCTAAATCTCTTTTCTTTGGAAGCACATAGCTCTCACTGGCGTCAATTGAGGTCACAGTCCCACATTTAGGGAAAAACTAACTGACTGTGGTTACAAACGCGTGTCTGTGGCCACTTTGAAAGACCTCTCTCAGCAAATGGTAACCATATTTCTAAGAAGTCTGTTGACTTCAGCACTTTTGGCTATTATTGTGCTCCAATTCAAAATGCCAGCCTGTCTCACTGAAGCATTTTTCCATTCTCTGTCACAAGCCATAACATATGAAAGTCCTCCCCATTTTCTGAAAGCCAATAGTTAGTTTCCAGTGGTTAACCATTACAGCCTCTAAAATAGTGTGCTATGTGGCATGAATTTTAAATGCTTAAGTGATTGTCTCAGTAACACCATTGAACAGCTTCAAAAGGATTAATGTATAGCAACATTCATAAGGGGAGGGAGAGGACTAAATAATAAACAGTTATAATTCAGAAAAGAAACTGCTCTGCTACTT